ATATTGGTTGACTGATTTTCTCAACTCTCTTATCGAAATGGTGAGTCAAAAAAGTAGACAAAATAATAAATGCACCAAGATTTATGCACTGCTTTTGTTCAAATTACATAGCTGCTGTGATTAGTAAAATACAAACTCAGGGCGCCTGGGTGGCTCAGTTGGTTGAGCGTTCAACTTCGGCTTAGGTCATGATCTCACGGTTTGTGAGTTCAAGCCCCCTGTAGGGCTCTGTGCTGACAACTCAGAGCCTGGAGTCTGCTTCCGATTCTGTGTCTCCCTCTCTGTCTCTAATCTCTACCCCTCCCATGCTCATGCTTTCTCGCTCTCTCTAATAAATAAGCGTTAATAAAATAATAAAATAAAATTCAAACTCAATGAAAAGCTTTACTGAATTCATAGTTGTTTTTCGCTATTTATTTTCTTAAACAATGAACAGCAGAAATTCATGTACTGCATCACTACTGTGTGCAGGAATCCCACAAACACATCCCAGGTATTATTAAGAGCAGCACTCAACACCATTCAATAGAACAGTTCAAAGACATCCCATGACTGTGCCTATTGTCACGCAGGAAACTGTTCCCCAACGTACGTCAATAAAACAAACCTTTTAGTATAGCAGAGTATAAATGAGCCACTTTATATATGGAGTTGAAAATCCTTTTAACCACTAAGCCTTTTCTTTTTCAGCCATTCTAAGAATCCTTCCAAGTTTCAAGTTCTAATAGACACAGTGAAAAGCGGATTTAATACACAAGTCCCTTTAAAGGTATTTTGAGTGGATCCTCAGTGATTTAGCTTTGTTCAAAATTTACCTGGATCAAAAAAAAAATTTTTTTACCTGGATCCATGAGGTATTTTTGATAAAAGATCTAGAGGTCTGGGCATAATGCACAACATACACAACAAATGAAAACACACACAGTCACCGTTCAATCAAATGCATAACTATTTTCAAAGATGTTCTTTTTTCCTCATTCATTCAATATATACTCACTGAGTCCGTACTAATATACTAGAGGTACTGGGCTAGGCATATAGGACAAAATCCCTGCCCCCGAGGAGGTCAGTGATAGACAGCAAACGGTACCTGAGTACTTCATTAGTGTCATCACACGGTACTTTGGGAAAAGACAGGACAAAGTTGCCTACAAGTAAATCTCAGAAATGTGGTCACAGCAACAGTCCCCCAATCTAGATAGATGCCTGTAGATCGACAGAGCCACCAACCCTCAACACCCACAGACTCCAAATGCACAGGCTTAGGGAAGCAGTGGAGGAAGTCAGATGCAGTTTATTAAACTAAGTGATATGCACCATCTCTAACTCCCAGGTGTTTAAATACAGAAGAATGCAAATACTGCCTTCTTATTGTTTTTAAGCAACAAAAGTGTAAAGGGCTGATTTAAGTCTCTGATACCTAGTAAGTTCACACAAATATTGATAGTAAGATAAAATACATAATAGGTCAAACACTATTGATATACTCAAATCAGCTTCAACAAGGTTGCCAAAAACAAGTTAGCACTGCAATTATACACCACATACTTGAATTTTGCTGTTTTTTTTAAATTTATTTTAATGTTTATTTTTGAAAGAGAGAGATCAAGCATGAGCAGGGGAGGGGCAGAGAGAGAAGACACAGAATTTGAAGCAGGCTCCAGGCTCTAAGCTGTCAGCACAGAGCCTGTGGCGGGGCTGGAACCCACAAACCATGAGATCATGACCTGAGCAGAAGTCAGGTGCTTAACCGACTGAGCCACCCAGGCGTCTAGAACTTTGGTGCTTTTTAAAAAGTGATGCAGTCGGGGCGCCTGGGTGGCTCAGTCGGTTGAGCGTCCGACTTCGGCTCAGGTCATGATCTCACAGTCCGTGAGTTTGAGCCCCACATCGGGCTCTGTGCTGACAGCTCAGAGCCTGGAGCCTGTTTCGGATTCTGTGTCTCCATCTCTTTCTGAACCTCCCCCATTCATGCTCTCTCTCTCTCTCTCAAAAATCAATAAAGGTTAAAAAATTTAAAAAAAAAATAAAAAAAATAAAAAGTGATGCAGAAAAAAATAAAAATAAATAAATAAATAAAAAGTGATACAGTAAGTTATTTTGAGAAGAAAAAAAAAAAACACTTTGGAAAACAATGACTCTCCCAAGCTAGACATAACAATTTAAAGATCTAAATGAACCTCTTTCCATTTTATGCATTGCACTTAAGCCTTTTAAAGCATTATATTCAGCACCTTGCCATAGTAGGACATTACTCTAACAGTGCCTGGCCATAATACGACCTGATTCAAATGAAATCTGTTTCCCAGCTTATGCTAATAAAATGAGAATAACCTGAGCAGACACAGCCTCAGGTTCTCTCAAAGTAGCAGGTTAATTACGCATAAAAATAACAAGCCAGCCCAAGTTCGTACTTCCATGTCACAAGATTTTCATCACCAATGAACTTGAAAAATTAATATTTACTTAGCACTTCATGCTATATATTAGTGTGCTAGGATTACATAAAATTGCAGGTATAAAATGCCTAACAACTCTATTGTTGTGATTCCCATTTAAAGGTGAAAAAACTGGGGCTACAATTAATTGAATGGTCCACAATCCCACAGCCAGTTAATGCGGCAGAGCTGGGAAGCACACCCATGTCTTCCCACTAAGTGTTTGCAACCCAGTGTTCCTGACTGAACCCTCTGGAATGGTGCTTGTAGTTGTGTGCATTTTCTGAGGAGCCAGTGGAGAGCTGACATTAGATTCTCAAAGAAGCCTACCATCCCACAAAAGATTAAAAATCACTGCACCATACCATCACCCAGGTAAAACCAGAAAATGCACACTGGACTTTAACGCCTTTCACCAAGACTACCACTTCTCGGCTCCTGAGGAGGAAAAAAAAAAAAAAAAAAACTCCACAGTTAACAGTTTCACTTTAAAATTCTCACAGCCAAGTCAAGATTTCCACTCCTGGATAACTTCCAGCAACCTCTGCCACAGAGTCAGTTACACAATAAATTGCAATACTATATCAGTTTACATCCAATTCTGAGATTTCACAAATAGTGACCAATGTTATTTAGTCATTCCACTTTCCAAAATGTGTTTCAATCAACCAGTCCTCACTGCATTGCCTGAGAAATAAGCTATCATTATATCTCTTCCCAGGAAGTAAAACACTGTCACCATGAGGCCAGGCAATAAATCAGCTACAGAATTGGGATCAAAAGTGAGAAGCTCCTTGCTTGCCCCACCCATATGCAAGACTGTGTCATTTACCCCAGAGCAACCTCTCCTAGCTACAGAGAAAACACTGGGCATCTTCTCGACCAATGACAACACTAAATTAGAATCTACTAGTAAATCAGTGAATTAGGGCATACCCCCAGCTGCCCAATGACAAGTGCACTCATCTTGAAAGTTGAGGCAGATGTCACAGGATAAACACCTGGCACATGCCTGACATCTTAAAAATGAGATGTAACCACTGAGGGACTCTGACAGTTCTGTGGCAGGTGTGGCACTCAGCTTAACTCCTGGCATTCTGTCCCTAGGATCAATCTGAACATTTGATCCATCCTAAATTCCTGATCAGCAAACAAGAGTATTTCTGTGGAAATGAACTTTAAGTTACCTGGTTCAAACCCCTCATTCTACAGATAAAACCAAACCTCAGAGGAATGAAACCACTTGCCTAAGGCTCATAACTCAGACCTCAGAAAGCAAGTCTCCAAACACCTGTCCAGGATCCTTGCAATTCTCCAGGGCACTGGAAAATCGATCATGGTTACTGCCAGAAGCTTGGCCATCGACCAAACAGCACTGCTCCATCTCTGCCTCACCAGGACATCACTCCCCTCACCCTGTGCCAGATCCACTCTTTGCCTCCAGAATGAGGTCCCTCGGGGCCACTGGCAGGACACTGACCTCAACATGCACATTCTGAGGGGTAAAGACAATTACCTACTAAAGCTAACACCATCCAGGAGAAGAAAAAATAGGACTCTGGCACTGAGGAATTAACTTCACAAGGACTCTATGTTAGGACGATGTTTTATTTATAGCCTGAACAAGATGACTTAGGCACAACTCTCCAAAGCAAACAATCTAAAAGATAATGAAGAACCTTATGCTTCTCTCACTGTGCTCCAAAGCCCCCCCAACACACCCCCTGACCAAAAAAAAAAAAAAAAAAAAAAAAAAAAAAAAAAAAGCCAAGGAAAGCTATCTAGAGGACACCAAAGTCATACGCTCAATGTGTCAGGACGCGACCCACAAGTTTTGGATGAACGTTCTTCCAGGAGACCAGGATGGAAACAGTCTCCCGAAAGAAAATCAGGGATTCTCTATCCAGTCTGGCAACCAGCGCGCATCTGGACACCCAGGACCAAGTCCGAATGAGAGATGCAGGCGTGCACGACAGTGGCGCCGACCGAGAGCTCGGAGTCCCCCTCTCTCAGAGGACCGACGCTGCGGGGACCAGCCAAAACCACCCGCAGGTGATCCCGGGGAGCCGGCGTCACTGACACGCCCCGGTGAAACTCCACGGGTACCGCTCCCACTCTTCCGCCAGGACAGACACACCGTCTCTTCCCCTCACACCCATCCCCTCACCACACTCCCTCTCCGCCCGAGAGCTTCGGCGGGAAGCAACGCCCACTTCGGAAAAGAAGATCTTAGTTGTGGGGACCAGCCGGGCGTCCAGATCACTCATTCACAGAGCCACCGTAGCAGACACAAACATTAAGGAGTTTGCTCTTTTGACATAAAAAGCACACGATCAGGCCGCACGTGAAGGCACACACACGGAGGCAACAGCCATGAGAAGTCAATGACCCACAGGGAGGCTCCTAACTGCCAGCACCCCGGGCTCGGGGCAGAGCACCTGGCGTCCCTCCCCCTCTCCACGCCCCGGGGCGCCCAGCCGTGGGCCGCGCGCGGAGTGGAGAGCTGAGGTCTCCCGACAGCAGGGACCCGGAGAGGGGCGAGCGGGGGAAGGCGGGGCCCACCTCCTCGTCCTGCTCCTCCTGGGACGCGCTGCTGCCCCGCGGCGCGGGCGGCGCGGTTCCTCCGCGGAGCTGCGGCGGCGGCGCACAGACTCCAAGCTCGAGCACCACGCGCGCGGGAGCCCACGCGGCGGGCGGCGGGGCGCCTAGGGCGCCGCCCGGCGGCGGTGGCTGCGGCTGCTCTCGAGAGAAGCCGCCGGGCTCCCCTTCCTCCGACAGAGTTTCTGAGCCCGAGGAGGACTCGGCCGAGGAAGCGCCAGGCGAGGATGCGGCGGCCACCGCAGGGGCAGGAGCCCGGGCGCCGTGGCCGCTGCAGCCACGGGGCACCGGCTCCGGCGCCTCCGAAACTTTCTCCCCCATTTCCCTCTCGGGCCCAAAGTGCAGCCCGAGGGGCAGCGGGGACGCGGCGGGCACTCAGCGTCTCCAGGGAAAGCTGCGGGCTGCGCGGCTCCGGCTCGCTCTCGCTGCCGCTCCCGGGCTGCGGGGAGCCCCGCCGGCGACTACATGGCCGCGGCACGGCCGCGGGAGCCCGCCGCCAAGTTACCAGCCGCCCAGATTTGGCGGCCGACCGGGGCTCCCGCGCGCGGGGACAGGCCAGCTCGAGCCGGTGCTCTACGCTCCACAATCCTAGCGAGCTGCGCCCGCGCCGCCGGGACTGCGGCTTCGCCAGCAAAACCTGCCTCCGGGCAGGAGCGGGGCCGGCGGAGGAGACGGGCAGCCAGGGGAGCCAATGGCAGGGCAGGCGCGCCGGTGGGCGGAGGCTGCGGCGCCCCCGGCCGCACGGGCGTCAGGTAGGGGAGGCGGGGCGAGGCGCGGGCTACGGGATCCGGCGGAGCGCTGGGGCCCCCGGGACAGGGGAGAGGCGGTGGCGGAGGGGGCACCCGGAGCCTGGAATCGGAGCCAAAAGCTTGGACTCCGAACTTAGCGGAGGAGTGGCTGGCTGGCCGGCCTTGGAACGCCAGAGAGATGGCTGAGGGGGCGGTGAGACCTTGGAGAAGAACTGGACTTTGTTTCGAAAAAGTAGAATTGAGGAAACTGACCAGAAGTAGAAATTTAAAAGGAAACACAGTCACGCACACACACGCACCCACTAGACTGCTGGAGGAGAACGAGGGAAACTTCGTGGTATAGTGAGGGGATGGATCTAAACAGACCTGATTTCCAATCACGGTGTCTCCGTTTAAACTCGTTTGGCCTCAGTTTCCTCAGCTGGAAATAGAGGCATTACATTAATACCTGTCTTGTCAGGCTATAGGCAGAATTAGAGCAAATATTTATGTATATGTATATAAGCTTCAGCAGAGTGCCTGGCTTGGACACATGGTTAGTTTTCCAAAAACTATTTATTTTTGTCTATTAACTTGAAGTTTAAGTCATGCCCCTGTATTTAATTGGGAATGAGAATGTGCCTAGTACTGTGCCCAATCCTACACAAAGTTGAATTAGAAAGGGCTCTGTGGCGCTAACCATTGCCTGCCTCTCCACATCCGCTAAACAGCATGAAGAGTTTACAATTTCCAGTTGACTGTCTGCTAGCCCTGGATTCTAAACCAGCAGGATGCAAAAACAAGTGCTTCGCTTTCCTTACCTCTAAGAACTAGAAGAACGAACTTGCACCAAAGGCACAAGAATTGCCTTAAGGCCCTCCCTGGACCTGGAGAATGCATCCTGCAGGGTGATTGGGTGACTTAAATTTCTTGGAAGCCAGCATTTGGTGCAGCAGTGGTAGATCAATGACTCCTCAACGTGCCTTCAGCTCCAGCCCTATTCTGAGCTCTGGCACTGCAACCTGAGCTATAAATTCAACCTGATTAAATTCCACAGACTGATTGGGATGTGTGCCAGGTGCTTGCAGGGGGTACAAAGGTGAGTAAGGCAGGTCCCCTGCCCTTTAGGAGCTTATGGTCAAGCAAGAGATTGATGATGCAGGGCACCTGGGTGGCTCAGTCGGTTGAGCGTCCGACTTCGGCTCAGGTCATGATCTCGCAGTCTGTGAGTTCGAGCCCAGCATAGAGCTCTGTGCTGACAACTCAGAGCCTGGAGCCTGCTTTGGATTCTGTGTCTCCCTCTCTCTCTGCCCCTCCCCCACTCATGCTCTGTCTCTGTCAAAAATAAATAAAACATTAAAAAAAATTTGTAAAAAGATTGATGCAGCATAATATACCTCCATTATTAATTTTGTAAAGCTATAGTCGTGCTATGAGAACAATGTGCCATGGCAGGAGAGAGGAGTTACAGGAAAACAGTGAACAAATCCTCAAGAATCTCAGATTTCTCTTTATCAGAACAGTTTTGCCCAATATCCTTAAGAACTGAAGGACTCCAGTTGATAGCCCCTTCAGCTAATGAGCCCTTTTATGCTATCACGGTATTTACAAGTGATACATCACACAAAGCACTTCATTATATTGGACAGCAAGCTTTGTCCTGATCAGTTTCCTCCCAAGATGAAGGGGAAAGAAATATAGCATAACCCTATTGCCATGGACAGCCATACTGCAAAGCAGGACTCTGGCTGTCAGGCTTGCATTGTGACACTTGAGGATTATCTGCGGGGATGTGAGTACCTGCTGAGGCAAAAGGGCAATTCTACTGACTTGGCTAAGTTGTGACAGCAAGGCTGAAGAGAGAGCACAGTGGGGTGGTCAGAATCCAGCCCTGGGCCTCCCAATTGCTTTTCTACTCGGGAGTATTGGTCTTTATCCGAGCCCGTATGTGGTTGATTCACCACAGCCAAAGTGAAATGAGGACTTAAGCAAACCATTCACATGAAAGAGAAGGAGGGGGTGCCTCTCAGTGCATGGGGAAAGAAGAGGCAATGACATGATCTGAATTCCTAACAGGAGAAATGATGATAGCTATTATTGCTTGAACCCTAAACACTGTCTATGGATGGTCTCATTTAACCTTGGCAGCAACCTAAGATGATAGACTGTATTGGCCCTACTTTATCAATAAAGAAATTGAGGATCTGCAAGGTCAAATAACTTGCCAAATGTCCCACAGCAAGTGAGTGACAGAACTGGGGTTTGAACCCAGCGGTCTGCCTCTGAGGAACTCTTACACATTCCAGTAAAATGCAGTTCAGAACAGACCACTTTTTTCAAGTACATATTTATATGCTACATTACAAAAATCCATAGAGCAGGAATGTTGTTGTCTTGATTCAATATGTAAAAGAATATGAAAGGATATGTGGAGAACAGATTGTTTTTCCCCCGCAAACATTTATAAAGCACTTACAATGTGTTTCAAGCACTTTACAAATGTTAATTTTCTTAATCCTCACATCAACCCTATGAGGTAGCCACTATTAATATTCTCATAATACATGTGTGAAATGTATGGAAACTATAGCCCAGAAAAGTTAAGTAATTTGCCCAAAATCACACAGCTTGCAAGTGATGGAGCCAGGATTCAAACTTGAGCAGTTTGACCCCACCGTTTGTGCTTTTAGCCTCTATAGATCAAAATCAAGTGGTAGATCAGTATTTAACTTTTTAAACCTTAACCCTGCATAACCTGTTTTGTAACTTGTGACACATATCAATACAAATACACATAAAATTCCACAAAATAATATCTACACTAAGTTCCTATAAGCAATGAAGTCTGGAATTTTGTTATATTATTGAAAATAAAAATGCTACTTGTGATCAGCTAAATGTATTTCACACTCCATTCTGTCACATGCAGTTGAAATCAGTGTACCTAGTCATCTCCACAGCTGCCCCACAAGGAAACTATGACTGTGGTTCAGGCTGAAAGTTTCCAGACAAGAAATGGGCAAACTCAAAGGATGATTCTAAAAATGGAAGGTGATCAGAAAGTCAGGCTAATTCCCCTGAAATATCACAATTAGACCTAGAGACAAATGCTGAGGTATGGCCAAACCACTGGAACAAAATCAGTTTTGATTTTCCAGAATCCTGTGGTTCACTTTTCTTATCTGATAAATTATAATCATCATCCTCAGTGGCAAAGAAAGTACCCCACCAGAAGCACATTTCATAAGTGCTCCTAATGTTAGGTATAAAAGTATGGTTTTTTTTCTTCTGTCCTGTCACTGTAGGCAAGAGCCAGAAAAATAAAAATGACTTAGTCATAACTCTTAGGGAGCCAATAGCGTAGCTTCCTAGGACAGAACCAGACCAGCCTACAGATTAGAAAGGACAAGGTCATCAGTGTCCATACATTGTGCTGGACATGATCCCAAGTGCTTGGTTCAAGGACAGGCACTTGAATAAGTGTCCATTGTGTTCAGTGATTAAAACTTGCCTCAGTTTTCTGAGGTAACAGGAGGCGTTGCCTCTGGGAGTCTCTGTTGTCTCTGCCAGTCTGCTCTGTGGGTGAGGCTATGTGAATATCAAGCTCTGTCTCTCTGAGATGGAGAATGTTGGCGGAAAAGTCATCACACCCATAGTCCAGTCCCATTGTTTTGACCTTCCTCCTAAGGATTAGGGTTAGGATTTAATAAAATTGAAATCAACTCTCCTTTGTCTTACCTACGTGAAATTAGAGCATCACCAACTTCAAATAAACATTTTTGCAAAATGACAAGTAAATATGCTCCTGCTCACGACACTAAAAACTCCTAAATATCATACTATCTTTGGACTTTGAAGATGATGGTATTATACTTTTGGTAGGTTTTTAAATTATCACTATTAATGATGGATGTGCCTGATCCTTGACCAAAGAAATGCAATTTCAAGACAAAATAAACACCAGTGAAAAGGTGGTACTGAAGTGGCCTAGGCTGGGGGGTTCTAATTTATACCAGAAGGTGTAGCATAATACAGACCATGGCTGTTTCTGACCACTCAGCTGGGAGGAAAAGCTCCACAGTTTCTAAGGCTGTTATTTGTGTCTGAGGCTCTAGGAAAGGAAGGGCTACCGTACAAGGTTCCAGAAGATAAGTAGGAAAATGTTTAAACGATGGCTGTAAAGTGTAAGTGCAGAAGAGTAATGACTCGAATTGCAGCTGTTGGAGTTTCTGACCTAGAGGTTGAGAAGAATGGGAAACTAAGCTATCTAAGCAAGTTAAAATAAGCCTACAATGGACCACAAGGGGAGGATGCTGCTGATGGGATCTCTTAGCCCAAGGTTTCTCACTGCATTGTATGTAGAACATTTGCATCACATCACCAGGAGGCAAGCAAGGGAACAAAGGATGCTGGTTCCCTGGCCCCACCCAAGATCTGGGGAATCAGCATTTTTTCAGCTCCATTCCAAGAAAGTATCAAGTACACTAAAACTTAAGGATTACTGAAGATGTTCCTAACTTGGAGATCAAAGGGCCATTTTATGCTGCAAACATGCATGGTTCTGTAGAAGGTGACTAGAACAAGCCTGACTGA